CCAGCCTTGAGGAAATCTGAAATAGAATACTATGCCATGTTGGCCAAAACTGGTGTCCATCACTACAGTGGCAATAATATTGAATTGGGCACAGCATGTGGGAAATACTACAGAGTATGCACACTGGCTATCATTGATCCAGGTGATTCTGATATCATTCGAAGCATGCCAGAACAGACTGGTGAAAAGTAAATCACGCAAAAGTTTTCTTTAATAAAACTGGCCACAGCTTATTTAAAAACAAAAAAAACAAAAAAAACCTGTGGCTGAAATAGTTTTCCAGATAAGTGGGTCCTTTTCTTATGTAGGCCCCCTTACAATTCAAGCGCTGCTTGTGAAAGTCTTGTTCTTAGGATTTACTGGTGTGGTTGTTCTTCCTTCAGCAAGTAGCAGTAAAGATAGAAATCTAGTAAGGGACCAAGAGTGGTGGGGGGGGGAGAGAGAGAGAGAGAGTGTGTGTGTGTGTGTGTGTGTGTGTGTGTGTGTAGGAGTGAGAAGTTCTAGTAACTGGAATTGTTACCGAACATTTTTTCCTTCCCCCTTGTGTGCCTAGTGTTGATTTTTCAGTTACTCTAAATCACAAGGGCTCTTAGTTTATTTGACTTATGTTCTGTCTGGATAGCTATCTTTAAAAATAATTGCTGTTCCATTTTGTTGGATTTGATTATATCAGTGTGCCTAAGTTTAATGTTTTAATGACTCCCTTTTGTAAATTGAATGTGTGGGCAAGCCGGTCTGTGAAAGGCCTGAATCCTGTATGTGATGATAATTACTCCTTTTTTGAGGGCAGTAGCTTTGACCTAAAATTCTTTCCACTTTGAGTATATATGGTAGGGAGCTAAATATACAGAAAGCTTAAAAGAAGCAGTTAAATGTGCCATAAAGCCACTTGATTATATGTTTTTAGAATTGGAAGTGACAGTGGGTAATGACACTAATGAAAATGAGTGTATACTGATGAAAAATGTATATGTAGGTAAAAATTTAGTTACTTCAGTGGAGAGTCTTTACAGGTTATAGAAATAGGAGTAATTCTCTTTATACAGAAAGAAGATATAGTACTTTATAAAACAAAATCAGTTTTTTATGAATTAAAGGTCCCTGAGTAGTACAGTAAGAATCCTTTTACCTTGTCCAGATAACCACCACCCCACCTTTCTTTCCTGGAGAGAAAGTTAGAAAAGTTATCTCTTTTTTTTTTAAGATTGCCATCAAAAACTAATGATGTAATGTATGGTGATTAACATAACAATAAAAAATAAAAAAAATAAAAAATTTTTTTAAGATTGCCTTATTGGAATAATTAGAATAGTAAATAAGGGAATTTGTAACAAATACTAATTTATTAGTATGTCTGATTTTAGGTGAAGATTCAGTTGAACTCTTGCCAATTTGATGGGCTGGACAAGTTTCTTCTTCAATAATTTCATGAACATTCAAAAATCTGTAACTTCCTGTTGTCATTTCCAGGAAATACATGAAATCTTTCCTTATTGCTGTTAGAATGTTCTGTGCTTGAAGAGGGCATAGGTGATACACCTGACAATGGGAAGAGAAGATGTTTTGGGAATGCCATCTGCCAGAATTGTGGGCAACAGGAATGAAGAGTCAGAAAACATCTTCCCTGATGTTTTTTATTTTCCATATACTCTTAAGGCAAGGAAATAGCTTTTTTGTTAACAAACTGAATGATTAAGGGCATGTGAACTTTTTCTTCACCTCTCAGAAGCCCTTGACCTCTATAGAATAGGTTTGGTAGGAAAATGAATAAATTATTTTCCTGGTGAATTTGATGTTTTGGGAGTAAAGTGGGCTCAGAATCATTGCCTCCTGCTGCAGAATATTAGAGAGAAATAAGACAGCTAAGTTGTGTTGCATCAGAATAGAATTGGAATTTATTTCAATATGTCAGAGGCCCCTGGATTTAATGTAATTAGTGGCCTTGGCCTCCTCTTTGCATTCAATAAGGAATATGTAAGTTTATAACAAATTTGAACAGAGGCAATTGTACTGTTGAGATTTGTCTGCTATGTTCCAGCTTGTCACTGAGGAAATGGCTTCGTTGAGATTCTAAAGTGTCACTGAAAAGAATTTGAGACCTTGGTATCTTGTATCCTGTGTAATAAGTGTGGCCAGCCCCATTTGGGGGCAAATACTGGCCTTCATGTTCTTAGACTAAATTGTTTTCAACTAAAAATGAAATAAATCTGTTGCATCTGAATGTAATACCTGTCATTGAGAAAACAGTGATTGTTGGATTTCATGGTTGTCAGTTCTAAGAGCATTCAGTAGTGTGGTTGTCTTTGGAAATTTGAGAACCATTTATCTTTGAACATGGGTTTCTAAAAATTGAATTTTACTGCCTATGAAAAGTGTTGGTCTAGGATTTGAAAGAACTGAATTCTAATTCCACTCTAATTACTCACTAACCAGGAACATTGTGCAAATCACTTCATCAGCCTGGGCCAGCATCCTTAGGGGTTCAAGAGAAATCTTATGTGAAAAAAACAAAAACAAAAAACAGCTTACTTTATATAGGTAGATATAGATAAATCTTACATGAATTTTTGTTGATTATTGTAACTATCAAGTTAGGTAGAGCTCACAGATCTACTAGGCACTACAATATGAATAGGTTCTTAGAATTTTCTCATGTGTTGGCATCTCATGTTTCTTTCAACCCTTTGCTTTTGTCCTCTACTAATTTATACTTTTTTTTTTTTTTCCATTACAGTACTCTTGTCCATCTGTTCTCTGTTGTGTGATCCCAATCCAGATGATCCTTTAGTGCCTGAGATTGCTCGGATCTACAAAACAGATAGAGAAAAGTAAGTATGACTAGAAAAGTACCTATGGTGGGATGCAGAGGTTTGTGTCTCAGATCTTAACTCAGGGCTGAGTATGGGTCAGATATTTAAAATGAAGTTCTAATACACTCACCTGGGGAAAGAAGAGTGTTTGCATCAGATATCATTATAAGTTGAGGATGCTGATCTTATTTCTAATTGTTTCAAATGACTCCCACTGTTGAAAAAACTCTATAGTGTATTTTCTAAGAGCCTTATGTCTTTTGCTTGGCTTTTGACATTAAAGCATTTTGCATCAAGAGCCCATCTGTCTTTGCTGTAGGTATTTGTAAATTAATGGGAATTGATTTTCTGCCATTTGGCATAATCTAAAAAGAAAGGGAGTGAATGAACAAGACATGAAAGCCCCAAATTTCCTTTAAAAACAAAACTTAAGGTAGAATTTACATACTTTAGAATTGTACTATGAATTTTTGAAGAGTGGTCAGGATATCGAAAAAGTAACTGAAAGTGTTATAATTTTTTAATTTTGTGTATTATTGGTTAAGATTATAGGAGAAAATAGGTGGGAGAGAGTGGGTAATTTTCTAAAGTTAAAATATAAAGGATTAAGAATTACTTGAATTCTGTTGGATTAGAGGGGCTTATAGATAGTATGTTTTTATTTTTTATTATTTTTACTTAAGTTTTTATTTAAGTAATTGTTATACCCAGCATAGGGCTTGAACTCACAACCTCGAGATCAAGAGTTACATGCTCTTCTGATTGAGCCAGCCAGGCACCCCTAGATAGTATATTTTTAAATGGAGCTACACCAAGAATGGGGGATTGGAACAGCAATTGGTTCTTAGTTTAGTTTTGTCTGTGTTTAGCTCTGAATAGTATCTATAGTCCTGTATTTCTGGCTGCATTCAGAATAAAATTAGATGATACTTTTTTCTATTTGTGTACACATTCACAAAAAATTTTTTTAAGATTTAAAAATTTTTTTTATTTTATTTTTTTAAAGATTGTATTTATTTGAGAGAGAGAGAGCAGGAGCGGGGTGAGAGGCAGGGGGAGAAGCAGACTCCCCACTAAGCGGTAAGCATGATGCGGGGTTAGATCCTGGGACTCCAGGATCATGACCTGAACTGAAGGCAGACACTTAACCGACTGAGCCACCCAGGCGCTCTGTAAAAAAATTTTTTAAGGTAATCTCTACACTCAACATGGGGCTTGAACTCACAACCCTGAGATTAAGAGTTGCATGCTCTGCCAACTGAGCCAGCCAGATGCCCCACACAGATTTTTTGATGAGAGAACCATTTTGTCCAGTATCTAGGTGAGCATGAATGCCTTCCAAAAGGCATTTCCCAAGTCATTTGCTTATTAGAAATTTAGAAAGAGGGGCACCTGCGTGGTTTAGTCAGTTAAGTGTCCCACTCTTGATTTCGGCTCAGGTCATGATCTCAGGGTCGTGGGATCAAGCCCCGCATCCGACTCTGCCCTCAGCACAGAGTCTATTTGTCCCTTTCCCTGTGCTTTCCCCCACACACTCTCGCACTCTCGGTCTCTCTTTTCTCTCACTCAAATAAATAAATAAATAAGAAGGCTTTGCTTGAATAGTACCAGTTATTCCCCTCAAGTTTCAGATGGGATAATGAATGAAATCTGTTGCTTTCTGACTGACTCCTCACCTGTGTTAAGCCAAGCTTCTCTTTGTGTGTACAGGTACAACAGAATAGCTCGGGAATGGACTCAGAAGTATGCGATGTAATTAAAGAAATTATTGGATAACCTCTACAAATAAAGATAGGGGAACTCTGAAAGAGAAAGTCCTTTTGATTTCCATTTGACTGCTTTCTATGAGCCCACGCCTCATCTTCCCCTGTGCACATGTTTACCTGATACAGCAGTGCTGCGTGTTGTACATACTTGGAACAACAAACTAGAAATACTGTACTTCTGTACCAACATTGCCTCCTAGCAGAGAAGTGTGTGTGTGACAAGCCAGTTCTCCAGGCGTAACCTAGGTGTGAGACTAAAAGTTTTCCTTATTGACTTAAATTTGGATAACGGCAAGGTGAGGGGTGGTGGGTATGGTGTGTGCTTGGATGGGGAAGAAAAGCTCCACTGACCTGTAGGAGATTGTTTTTAAGTGGAATCCTTTTAAACTCAGAACAGTTATGAAAAGCAAGGCGAAGAACACGAAGCTGTTTCTGTATTCATTTTTTTCCGAAGGACCTACGTCTTAGGTGAAAGTTATGACCAACCAGATTAAACTCTACCCACATCCTGTATTTTAAGGTCTAAGTTTAACTGGTCAACATTTAAATGGATTGGAGCTATTAGTACATAAAGTGTGATGGGCTTTGGTCCCACATCTTTTGCATCTCCCCACCCTTCAACCTTTGTCCTTTCAGCCCCTTTCTCTCTCCCACATTCTTTGGTTTGTATGTGGTTTCTCAGTTAATACATAGCTAATAGCTCTTATTTTTCTTATGTTTTTAACTGCTTAGGTCTATCTGGATGTAAGGGTGAAAATTCATTTGATGGAAATACTTGTGTATATTTAAAGACCCAATTGCTCCTCTGGAGCTTGTACGTTCAAGAATGATTAATCTGTGTAATAAACTGATTACTACAGTCATTACATATAATTTTGTGTGAATAGGCTTTTTGATTTTAAGAACTTTGTCTAGCAGAGATTAGTGGTGGGTTTTCCCCCCATCCCTAAAATGTTTTCATTTATACTGGTTGCATTTCAAAATCATGAAACAATTCCAGTTTACATAGTCAAAAGGATATCTTGAAAGTAATTTTACTGAAAAAGATAAGGGCATAAGCTTAAAAGCATTTCCATGAAACTTACATGTGCAGTATTCCAGGAACATGACTGTTAAACTAAATAAGAAATCTGCTTTATTAATGAAACTAAGCTGCATTTCACCAAAACCTTGTGACATTCCCTTGGTACATAGGACATGAAAGAAAGGCATTGCTATTTGGTAAGTTAAGCTTCTGTGATTGTGATTGTAAAAGAGCAACATTGACCAAACCTGGGAAACATGAGCACAATCTTGTATTGGAGAGTCTACATAATTACTTTGCACTGACATTGCAGGATATTCATCCAATTTTAAATTGTACTGTATGTGGCTTTTGAAGTCTTCCCTTGACTCTAGTAAATTGTAGTTTGAAACTTGTAAACAAATGTGTTTGCCAGAAACATCATTCATGTGAACTAGGTAAGTTACCTTTTTTTCCCCTCCTTCTCCTAATCTAATTGTAAACCAGGCCAGCCTGAAGGCCATGGCTGATGCTCTCTAGCCATCAGGTTCTTTCAGATGCATCTTTACACTCTTGCACAAAAACTGAGGAATAAATGTCCACTGCTTTTGGTTTTAAACTTGTTTAACTTGTCTTATCTCTCATTGTCCCTCCATCTCGGAACTAAGGTGTGCTATAACCTGAAACCTCTAACTGCTGCTTCGTTGATGGCTACTTACTAGCATTTCTAGCATTCTTGACCTTGCAGAGAAGGTTTGACTGTTAACAGGTGTGGGGAAAGGAGTTAGAATTGAGCTCTAACCTAAAATTACCCTGTATTCTCAGTATCATGGGCAGGTGGGAATTTATCAGTTTTGGACTTGCTATTAACTAGACTGGTGACTGAGGTCAGTTGCAGAGATCCTGAAAGCCCGCTCTTTGTCATCTTAGAGAGTGTAGCCAGCACATTACCAATGATTAGATCATAATGTAGATACTTTCACAGGAGTGCTCTTAAGGATTTTTAAGTGCTAAATAAAAGCCATCATAGTGGCGTATAGGTGCCAAATGAAAGGGTTTGAATGGCCACAAACAATATTAGGCCCTTGAATGCAGTTTGGTTTTGCATATTTGGATATAGAGCATATTTGTTCCAGTCTGCATGCATATGCCTTGACCAGAACAAAGGCTCAGTGAGGGAGGCCACATTCCCCACTCATGAAGAAAAGTGTGTTAATCCGGGGTGGTTCTCATCTGGGATCACATTGCTTTTTTACAGGAATGTTTCTGGCTTTATCACATGTGAAAGCTTATTTGCAGTAACCTTGATAATCTTGGTGAGGCAGTGTTTACCAGGTGTATCAATATTGGAATATCAAGTGTATGGATTCCCTTTGCTTTGCTTCTTAATTCTTAACATGGGGTGTTGGGACAAGTTAGAGCTGGAGTAGTCCCTTTTGGTTACATGATTTCAGATACTTGCGTGCTCTATTGGCCAGTGGTTAAAGGTTAGCATTGTCCTGGTGGTTTCTACACTTGGATAATACATAGACTTGGAAGGAGGGTTTTTGGGTTAGGGAATGGCAGGGAGGTATGTAGAGAGAAGGATATGATAGTGGTCAGAGTGAATGGACCGTGTCCTCTGCCCTGACCTAGCAATAGAGACATTCCTTTCCCGCTTCCATTGTCTACAATTTTCCACTTTTTGAGTCATTCCTCTTTGCCTCAACAGGTTATTTTGAGCCTTAGGTAGAGAAATGAGTTATTTCCAAATTACAGTTGGAATGCCTATAAACCGTACCTTGTCTGCAATTAAGGTGAAACTGGCTTTTGTCTCAGTCTGCTGTATGATCCCCCATAACACCCAGTAGCTTTAATAGAAGAACTTTAGTTCCTGGGTCTTCTGAATCATGACCATATCTTTCCTTCCTTCCTACTCAGGAATAAGCATCTTTATTACCCTGCAGAAAATTGTCACTAGTGTTAAGGACCCATTTCCTTTTAATTGTCTTTGTGAAACACTTTATTTCAAGTGATGGGCTATTTTGATGGGTGTGAGGTTATACAAGAGAAAGTAGATTTTTAATAGAAAATAACTGAAGGTAGCAAACTTCCCAAGTATATGTTCATATATGTCCAAGAAGAGAAAATAAATTTCCTTTGGGGTGCTTCTGGAACCTTTTTCCTATTTAATTTTAACTTATGTTGTGTGTGCACTTAGATGAATGCGGCTGTGAGTTCTCTGTGCCCCACAAAAACCTGCCTTAAAAGCTTTAAAAGCCCCAGCTGCTAAATAGTTGGTATTCAGGCTCCTCTGAATATTTCCAGGCCAGTTTCTGGGATGGGCCAGTTCCTGGGACTGGCTGTGGGATCACTTTGTCATGTTTAATATTCATTTTTGCCATATTTTCCCTTAGTTGATATGAGTGGGAAAGCTCAAAGGTTGGATTCTCTAAAGCCTTGGGCCTTAGTGGCTCAGTATATAACATGATCACCAACCAGCTTTGGCCTTTCTCAGTGACTGTTCCTCGGCTGGTTGAGTCAGAGTTAGACATTTTTTGTGACAAATGGTCACTTCTCATCTTCGAATTATTTGTGGAGAGCAGCACCTGATTAGAGGCAGAGTATAATCCGCCTCTTAACACATGTGAAACCGTATGAATATCTTAGCACCAAGAGAGCCGCTTAATAGTTTTTAATTGAGTGGGATTTGTTTGTTTTTAACCTCCTGTGTAAGTTGCTATTGGTAGAACGGCCTTTTCCAGGGCTGGGGATCCTGAGTGCCCAGAGTAAGGTGCCAGTGACTGCTGTCCAGGAAGAGCAGCACCAGCCTTGAACATGCTATGCTCCTTTCCAGACTTCTAAGGATATTAGGGGAAGTAGCTACCATTTTCTCAGGCACCTCTCTCCTTGTTTTGAGCTACTACTTCTCCTATTTGAATGTCTTCCTAAGTACTTTTAAAAATCTTGACCCTTAAAAGGTACTCCCCTGATCTAAATTGTAGGGCCTCTAGGGAATGAGAGTGAGTAGGGAAGGGTTTAGTTTTCCTGACCGTAGGATCAGCTACTCCCCCAGATTGTGCTTTCTCAGCTTTTAAATTTTCCATAGGAAGTAAAGTTAACTTTGGAAGCTCCAAAGCTCCTTGGGCCCCCCTTACTTGGAGGTTTCTAGAAATAGCTCCCAAATACAATCTGACATTTGAGCTTCAGAATCAGCACCATCTCATGGGTGAGAGAGACGTGCCATGCTTGAGGTAGTTGGCAAAAGCTAGGCTGTCTACTGGACTGCAGGGGTGTCTGGAGCTTCCCCCAGCTAAATAAGGAGCAATACTGGTTAGGTCCTTCTGGGCAGTTTCCCCAGTCAGCACCTGCTACCATCTTTGAAAGGTGTGGCTGCTTGCAGGGTGTTGCACTGAGAGTTACGGGGACCTGGCCTGGTTAAAGAGGGCATCCAGGATTTCCAGTCACCTGTTCCCCTGTGATGGAACCAAGACTTTTCTCAGACCTGCCAGATAAATTTAGCTTTTCTAGAAGTATGACCCTAGGCCATTTCATCCTGGTCCTCTTTTGTAGGAAACAAGAAGAGGGCATAAGAGAAGGGGTGAAGAGAGGTTCTGGTGCATTGTAACAGGTTATGGGGCAGGTACTCTTTCCATGAGGGTGGGTTCAACCTCTAAGTTGGATAGAAAGGGCACTTCTTTTGAAGTTTAGGATATAAATTTTGTGGAGGTGGGGGGCAGGATTCCTTTGTGATTTCTCCTCTGACACACTGTCCCTGCTTATCCTGCCCGCCTGCCACCCTCTAACTTTAGGTGACAGTTGGATGGGTTTAAATTTCTGTGCGCACAGATGGAGGAGGTGACTAAAATGCATTTGCTTGGTTAAGGAGTGAGTTGGTATCTGAGTGGCTGCTAGTGCCTGAATGGCCAGCAGAGGGCAGTGGTGACCCACGGCTGTAACAACCGAGAGGCGGGTGGTCAGTAAATCTGCTTGGACAGAACCTGAGAGGGGCTTTTGTTGGGGTGGGGAGGCCTCTTTGGTCTTGGCTTTGTTCACAGTTTATGCAGAACTGGATGGGCCAGTGCCTAGCTCAGTCAGGCTCCATCATAGCCTTAATCACAGTGAGGGAACAGGGCCCAAGGCCTGCCAGAAGTGTCAAGCTACCAGCTCCCCTCTTTCCTTCCCATTGGTATAGTAGCCATATCCCTGGGTTGTGGACAGATGAGTAGGGTCTGAGCCATGGCCTTTGCCCACTTGGCTACAGGTTGCATGGGGGCAAAGGCCTGTCCATCACTTCATATGAATAAGGAGATCTCATATTTTTTGGCAGCTCTCTGCCTGGTGCCCGCTGTTGCCTTTCCCCAGAGGCAGGCAGTCCCTGTCACCCTGGCCAAGCAGCCCAGTCTCATTTACCTGCCCACCTACCTTGGGCAACTAGGACATAGTTTTTCATACCCTGAGGGATGGAGGCCTGGACACAGGAGGAACAGGGCTGTCTTGTCTTCCCTTGTGCTTTTTATCCTTTTTAATTTGTCTTGTGTTTTGGGGCTCCAGGCTCCCCAGTCTTCCATCCCAACAGCTGTGAGCCTCCAGGGCCATTACCCGGAAGCCAGCTGCCTCTTCTTGGGGAATTCTTTGAAATTCCAGTCTTGGCCATCTGGATATGCAAATATCTCCAGAATTGCTGAACCTCCAAGTGGCTACACCCCAGGCAGAGTTGTGAGAATTAACCACCACTATCCCCAGATGGGGGAAACTGCCTAGGGGTTGTTGGTGCCTGGAACCCAGGTTTTCACCTACTGAGAAACCCACTGTAAGAGTGGCGGAGAGAGGAGTCTTGATGGCTCCCCAGGTCCTGCTCTAGTTCCTAACTATGTAAGGAATTTTGCATTCAAAGGAGGAATTGGGAGACCCCTGGGGTCCCTTTCTGGAGAGTGAGGCTCTGGACCTAAGAAAGTCCCCAGAATAAGGACTGAAGCCTTGGGTCTATACTGGCCAGAGGGGTTGGGGCTACCTGCAAGGAAAGCTCCTGATTTCCTACCAGGCCAGACCCAGGCAATAAAGCTAAACTTAGGCAACCCAGAGTAGGGCCAGCAGCCTGGCCCCCAGAATGCCTCGCTCTCCCCCAGGCCTCCCCCTGGGGCTGGTTATCTGGCTGCAGCAGGAGGAATGTGTGCTCTGAGTGGGGAAGGCGGGGGCTCAGGGTCAGGGCGGAAACCTGGGAATGTGGACTCCCTGCCTGCCCCTGTCCCTGTTGGAGGGAGGGAGCCATGGAGAATGTGGCTGACAGGCCCCAGGCGTGGGAGAGTGTAGGTCTGCTTGTGTATGTGAATATGTGCAGGAGGGGGCTGCCCATGTGTGTATGAACTTGTGAGAGAATTGTGAGCATGGACATTCCTTAGTGTTTATGCATATGGGTGTGAGCCTAAGCTGTGTAGCCTTTGAGAAACAGGAGTCAAATCTGTGTTTGAATCACAGGCCATGACTTTTCAGTTGTATATTCTTGGGCAACTAGTTTTGCTCTCCTTTGCTTGGTTTTCTCATCTAGAAAATGGGCAGTTGGCCTCCAACCTGGCCTTAGGCAATGCTTGATGGAAAATGGCCTTACCAAGTTGAAGGCTATGGGTTTTGGGTGTTTAT